GGGGGCTCTCGGGCAAGGGAACTCCCAGCCGTAACGGGCTGGAACTGGGCGAGGGGATTAAGGCGTCGCTGTGATTCGAAGCAGCCTCTGAAGAGCCCCAGTGCTCGCCCGCGCTGTGGGGGCAGAGCTGCGTTCAGTCTCGCTCCGCAGCTGAGAAAATGTCCTGGCCACGGTCACACGATGAGCCAAAAACAAAACTTGGGCTTCCTGCCTGCGCTGCCCACCGGGCAGGGCCTCCCCTTCCTGCACCCCGGGTTGCCGCAAGAAGAAGCGCGGCCTCCCCGCGTGCTGCAGGCAAGGGGAGCTGGTGAAGCTACAGCCTGGGCTGCTGGTGGTGGCTGGTACTTAAAAAAGAGAGAAACGGTCCCTGCCCATCTTTGCTGCTCCCTGGTAGCTGGTCCTATGGCCCCGGGCTGCTGGCATGGCTGCCGGGGGGTGGGATTGGCAATCCCAGCGCGAGCCCCTCTGCGGAGGGGAGAGGAGGGACCCTCGGCGCGGCCAAAATCCAGCCCGAGCCCGAGATTTCTGGATTTCCGTGTGGGGGAGAAACCCCCCGTGTGCCTGGTCCCGGCTCCCTCCTGCTCCCCAGGCGCTCCCCGGCTCCCTCCCCCGAGCAAAAGAGGCGGCGTTTATCGTAGTAATGACTTTATTTCCAAATTCACTTTTACGGCAACAGTGTAAACCAGTTGTTAAAACGCACGATACACTATGGACATTCACAGACAGAAGCTAAGCTAGAATGATACACTGAGATCAAACCTTCCCTCCCTGCCCCAGCGCACCGCAGGGAACGCGGGGCTGCCAGCACCACCGGCAGTCTGACACTGGAAGTTCACTTAACAAGCATATTTTCGAGTGCAGAAACACATATTTTTTTTGAATCGGTGCCGGTTTTAACCCTTTTCAGACCAAGATGTGTGTGGAGTAAAGGAAAAGCCATGGGTCAGTCTGTCCAGCTGCTCATGGTAACCCTCGGGCCTGGGTCTGAACGCGGGGTCGGGGCTGGGGAACGTGGCTCGGGCTGCTGGAAGGGGACGGCGGGAGACGCGGTGGGTGGAAAGGGCTGTCCTGGGACCCCCGGCAGCCCCCATACTTGCAGGGGGAAGGGGCTGCTCGCTGGAGCCCCTGGGCCGGGGCATTGGTGTCCCTGAGGAGCTGCACAGAAGGGCCGGAGGTGGGGGGGGTGGCACGGAGCAGGGCTGGGCCTGGCAAGCTCAGCTACGCGCCGTCCTGCAGCCGAAAAGGGTTAAAAGGGGTGGCTGGCGGTCGGTGGTTCTACCGCTTGCTCGTTTTACAGAGGACAGAAAATACCACAGCGGCTCCTACATCCTACACCGATACAAAGATAGTCACAGACTGGAGTACAGAGTCTTACAATCAGCATCAACTGAAAGGAGCAAGTGACAAGCTGGACGTGGGCTTCCGCTTGACCTGTTTGTGTTGGTGCTGGACCAGCCTCTCCCCAGCAGTAAAGCAGCTCCTGGGGCTGCAGAGACAAGGGTTGGAACCCCCCCCTCCCCCAGACACAACCATCCTGCTCCAGCACTGGACAGGTGCCCTCTCCAGGTCTCCTGCTTGGGCTGCCGCCCAGCCCACGTGCAGCAGCAGCAGCAGCCCGGCACCGCGCAGAAACACCCGGTGGAGCCCGCACAGGCTGTACGAAGGCCGCAGCAGCGTGGCAGGTTCATCAGCTGCTGCTAAGGATGGGAGTGGGTCCTGTCCGGGGAGGAACCACTGCTCTGCCACCA